TTAGCTGGGCATGGTGGCACATGCCTGTAATCCCAGCTACTCAGGAGGCTGAGGCAGGAGAACTGCCTGAACCCAGGAGGCGGAGGTTGCAGTGAGCCGAGATTGCGCCATTGCACACCAGCCTGGGCAACAAAAGTGAAACTCCATCTCGGGGAAAAAAAAAAAAAGAAGAAAAAGGGCCTGTTTTTCAGAGCATTCGCATTTAAGGAAAGATCCTAACATGAATTCAAATACATTAATGAGAAATCTGTGAAGACAGCTTCCAACGTTAGTTTAATTCAGCCCTCTGTTACATAGCTATTGCTTATTCAGGAATTACACAGGGTTGCCAAGGATAGCCACTAACTAAAAATAAATATTTGATTTTGTTGTCTCACTCTACCTCATTTATTAAACAATTTATTTTATATAAGTATTCTAGAAAGTGAAGATTCTCAAGTCCGTACCAGATATATTTCTGACAAACTCATGTTGTTAATGATACTTTTGGGGTACCTGACATTTTTTCTTTCTTTCCTTATTTTTTTTAACTTTGCATAAATTTGCTCAAAATGTCTGGATTTGGTGGCCAATTATAGAAGATTTTTCACAGCAAACCCAGTGAAACAATGTCATTTTTAGCCTTCAACTCACAGCTATGGCCTCAAATGATTAGACATGTGATTCTGAACTTGATTTACGGAAGATGGAGCCCAATTCTCTGGCCCCAGGCCTGAATGCTGGGATGGCAGAAACCCATGCTGGAGAAAAATTTAGTTTACCAAGTAAATCAGGGTGATTACTGGAGAAGCTCTTCTCAAATCCAGTTCCTGAAAATGAGTGAACTGTTGTGCTCTTTGGAGCTGAGAATAGAATACTGGGGCTGATTATCCCTAACACCAAATGATTACTGACAACAATTTTGCATGTCACTATAATAACAGGTAAGGCAAAAGCAATTAAAACACAGATTTCATTTTAAAACTCCACATATTAAGAGTAGAGACTAGTTTATATAACTTAGGACAGTAATTCATGAAAAAATCAGCTGTAAGCCACTTAAGTTAAAAGAAAGTTAATATTAAGTGAGATGTGGGTTTATTTGCTTTTGGTCCAGAAAGAAAGAAATGAATATTTTGTTTATTTACCTTAACAATTAAGAACTGAGAGAAAACAATCTGCTAAGATCAAACAATAAAATTAGTGAATTAAATGATAAAATCATAGTAAATAGATTTAAGCTAGTAGGTTATATCTTAAATACATCTTGATTTTATTTCATCATGACCGTTTGGGTTGTGGGGTGTGTGTGAAAATGGGCAGTAGAATGTGAGGCCAACATGCATGAAGAAGACAGATGTCAGCACACACAAATATCCAGAGAATAAAGGAATCACATGTGGTGAGGCCAACCAAGTCATTGTGAAAGGCAAAGATATAAAGACACATTAAGGAAAAACAGGGAAAGACAGACACAGGAGTAGCAAGATAGACATGTATATCCACATGTAAATACACAGGACAGAGGAAAGGGACAGCTAAAAAGACAAACATTTTCTTTTTTTCAAAAAAAATTTACTTTAAGTTCCGGGTTACAGATGAAGAACGTGCAGGTTTGTTACATAGGTATACGTGTGCCATGGTGGTTTGCTGCACCTATCAACTCGTCATCTAGCTTTTAACCCCTGCATGCAATTAGCTGTTTGTCCTAATATTCTCACTTTCCCTCATCCCCCCAATCCCCATCTGGCCCTTCCCGGGAGTGTGTTGCTCTCCTCCATGTCCATATATTCTCATTGTTCAATGCTCACTTATGAATAAGAAGAGGCAGTGGAAAGACAAACATTTTCATTAGCTCAACAAATATTTACTGAGGCAAAAACAGACCCAAAAAGATAGATTTGGCAGACAACTTTGTAGTTCTTTGTAGCCGGCCAAAGTGAACCCAGCTGCTGGCCATAACTGCACAGAATTGTTTTAGAGGGCCTACTAAGTACAAAAGCACTGTACTAAACACTAACAAAGACCAAAGTAGGAATAAAATAAACTCCCTACCCTCTAAGGACTTATTAAAAAGCCATGTTGGGCCTATGAGTATCTGCTACTTTATCATTCTTTAAAATGATGAACTTGCTGGGAATTTAAAATAGACCTTTCTGCAGTGGTAAGCAGGATTTATGCTTTGATTTTTCATTTTAGATTATGAAGACTATACAAAGAGACTCAGAGATAGAAAACTTTCCTTCTCATCTTTAAAAGTAACAGGCATAAATAATAGCCAAGAGAGGAAATCTCTCTGTTACACAAGGTTGCTTGGTGGCCTGATCTTTGTTCTTGGCAAAATCAGTCTTGTTTCATTACCTAGTATCTGGGAGATATCTGAAACCATTTTGTATTTTTTTTCCTTTTAAAATTCAGTGTTATTTTTGGCTCAGTTGTCTTTTAGTTGGAACAATCAAAACAAAATGATAACACTTCCCACTCTCCAAAAAACAACCACAGAAAACCACTTTACAAATTCATAAACAAATAATTCCCAATTTAAGGCTACAAATAGAAATTACTGCCTATTAGAAATATAACATGAGCCATGAGCCATATTTTAAATTTCTTAGAGCTACATATTTAAAGGTTTTTAAAAGGTTAATTTTCATAATATATTTTCTTTAATCCAATGTATGGCAAAATATCTCAACATGTAATCAATAAAAAGTGTATTAATTAGATATTTTACATTCTTTTTTTCACACTAAGGTTTTGAAACCATGTGTACATTTTACACTTACAGTACATCTCCATTTGGACTGGTCACATTTCAAGTGCTCAGTGGCCAAATGTGGTTACCGGCCACCATACTGGACAACAATGATTTGGAGTGATACTTCTAAGTGGACTGAACATCCCTTCCCTTCCTATTGTTAGCTCTACCAGAGACTCAACCAGATGAAAATAAAATCTTAAAGTCAACTTTTGTTTTTTGAGTCCCCTTAATACATAACACTGTGTTTTTGCAATCTGCCTGGTGGCATTTAACCTTTACGCATGGAGAAGGAGAGTTGAGGTTGATATATGCACTTGGGAAGGTATAGCTTTCTTACTTAAGCAAAACAAACAGTCCACCGGAGGTAGACAGGGAAAATTTCCAGTGGGAAATAATGGCTGTAGAAGCCAGCCCTGCTCTGTACTTGGGTGAATTGAGTAAGCTTGCGTCAAGGTTCTTCTGGTACCCTGTATTTTCCTGTCAAGCCCTCAAGTAAGTTCCTTGAGGGCTCACACCATCATTACCCATCTCTGTCTCTCTAGCACTTAGCATAGTGCCTGGAACATAGTTGGTGTTTAAGAAATATCTGCTAAACAAATAAATGATTTCACATAAATTCAGTTTCTTATGTGCACTAGCCACATCCCAAGTGCCCCATAGCCACACGTAGCCAGTGGCTACCATGTTGGACAGCACAGATATAGGACATCTCTATCATCACAGTAAGTTCTGTTGCTTATCACTGTTTTAGAACAATGAGTAGAAATATTAATTTGACCCATTTGGTGACAGGGAGCTTCTAGAGATCACAAAACTCTTCATTTTTTGTGAGCAAGTGAGAATACCAGTGATATTAAATAAGAAAGAAAGAAGCAAAAGCAATAATAGGTACATATTTTAGCCTACTGGAAAGTTCAAATACAATGTCATTACGGTTTTGACTGGAAAAATATACTTGGCCGTGCATTTCTTCCTGAGTTTCTTTTTCCCTTAGAGTCTTCTCATCTTGATTCTCACCAGGCACAATTTCCACGAGTGCCTCACCTATTCTCTAGCCCAAATGTATAATGAATGCTTTCCCTTATTTCCTGAGATATACAGGCAATTTCAAAAGAAACTTTAGTACAAAAGCTAGGGGGATAAACAAAGAAAACATAAAATTATGAAAAATAGTCAAGCTTATATATGACATATATATTTTTAAAGCTAAGTACTCCAGGAAAAGCAATGAGGTTCTTAAAGAAATTCTACCTTCTCTTACCCTAAATAATTAGATTCTAATGGCTGATGGGCTAGCACAATTTTGCAAGTATACTGGATGTAACCCTTTATTTTCAGCCCCTTGTCTCAGCCAGAAGTCTGAGGTGCCTCTTGATTTCTGACATACAGTAGTTGGTATGCCTGAATATACATCGCACTCCTCATTTAAGGATGTCCCTTAAGATTCCACTTTCCTTTAAATAAAACTTCGCCCTGTCACAAATGTGGTTGCCTGCTCAGACCCACCTGCCTAGTTTCATGCTGAGGCCTGAGAGACATGCATAATTACAGTTGACTTGCAGAAATGGTGACTTCTGCTTTCAGCTTTAGTGAATAATTTAATGCAATGGTTCCCATGTCTTGCTGATTATCAGGATTATCTGAGGAACTTTTGCAAAGTTCAGATCACTCAACCCCACTCCAGACTTCTAAATCAAATCTTTGGCAGTGGAGCCTGGGATTCTTTATCTTTAACAAGTATACTAACTGAAAATGATGCACTAGGTCTCATTTAGGGATTATTGTCTGTTTCCTCCATACTCAGGCAACTCTGCTTACCTCCGGATCATTCCATAAGGACGTTCCCCACCCTCAGTTTATCATTTTACATTCTGACAATAAAACAGAATCTTATTCATACCATCCATGTAACTGAAGGGGGAAATGGGATAAAAGGGGTTTTTATGTAAGCTAGAAATTTCCATAATCCTACTGCTTTTTCTAGAGAAATCTGTTTGAATCTTTTAACTACATCGGATCGAAATGTCCCCACAGAAGTTACTATCAGCCCAACAATAATGAAAATTTCAGCAGGATGTGCTCCTAGGTTAATGAACAGTCAGCCCTCCAGCTGAAAGGCCAACACTGAGAATGCAAGACACAAATATAATCCACGAAATAAGAAGCATAATTTACCAGAAACCCAAGCTCTTACTGAATTTTAATATTAATGTATGTTGTTCATACACATCTTTTTATATTTCAAATAACAATCACTTACCCTTGACCAATTTTTTCAAATCTTGTGTATTTTTTCTTTGGGTCCCCAACACTCACAATGCTTCCTAAGAGATGGGTGGGGAGAGAAGGAGAGAGGAGGAGGCGTAGGGGAAAGAGAGAGAGAGAGAGAGAGAGAGAGAGAAAGAAATGGAAATTGATTGACTGTTTTTAAAAATTTAATAATGAAAATTAAGATGCCAGAGTCAGTGACAAATAAAACATTAGACAAATACTCCCATGTGATTTCTATAATTTATATAGAAATGATACTTTCTATTTATTAAAATAACAATAGTTTTATATTAATTAAAGTAGTAATATAACCCATTTTGCTTATATCCTATAAAAAGTTCTCATGATATTATATATTAGGAGATTAAAAAAACGCCTAAGACAGGGATGGAGCTGGAGGCCATAATCCTAAGCAAACCAATGCAAGAAAAGAAAACCAAATACTGCATGTTGTCACTTATAAGTGGGAGCTAAACACTGAATACACACAAGTGTAAAGATAGGAACAATAAACACTGGGGATCACTAGACAGGGGAGGATGGGAAGGAGAGCTGAAGAAATACCTATTGGGTCCTATGCTTCCTGCCTGGGTGAAGGCATCATTAGAAATCCAAGCCTCAGCATCACACAATTTACCCATGTAACAAACCTGCATGTGTACCCTTTATAACAAAAGTTGAAGTTAAATAAAATACAAAAAAGTTCTCAGCCTCACAATATTCCAGAAAATACACACTAAAACCAGAATGAGTTCACACTACAGACCTATCAGAGTGGCTAAAATTAAAAAGGTTGTCAATATCAAATGCTATTAATGATGTAAAGCAAGTGGAACCCTTGTTCACTGATACTGGGTACATAAATTGGTATAATAGCTAAAAATAAAGTCTAAGAACTTATCCACACTAAGTAAAATCACTATCTTCTCTGAATTGAACTTAAGCACTACACTACATCTAATTCTGCTGGACAGATATCTATAGAGTAATTACTATGTACCTAGTACAGTGCTAAGGGTGTGGGGATGGAAATGAGTCTAATGAAGAACAAAGTTTGATCATAAAGTAATGATACCCATGTGTTTTTAAAAGTACTTCTGAAACTAGGACACTGCTAGTTCTCAGAACTGACATATGATTTACATAATAAAGTTCAACCACGTAGAGTGTACAATTGAATGTTTTTAACATATTTATTGTGTGTGTAAATGTCATCATGATCTAATTGTAGACTATTTTCATTATTCCAGAAAGAAACCTTGTACCGGTTACCTGTTAGCAGTTACTTCCCATCCTCCTTTAGCTTCCCCAAACATACCTAGGCAACGACTAATCTACTTTCTGTTTCTATAGATTGCTCCAAACATTTCTTAGTAAATTTATAAGCTACATAAAGAAACCGTTAATTTATCATGTTTGGCTCTTTCAAAATGTTAGTTTTGCTATTTCAAAAAATCCAATCCATCACTGAGAGGATGAATACTTGCTGTCACTCAGAATAAATACCACAGAAGTAGGACTGACTCTTCAATGCAGTGTTCAAATATACCCAGAAAAAACTTGCGGTTATAAAACCATCATGGGAATAAGGGTGTAGCTTTTCAAGGGTAGTACTCTAAAGGGCATCATTTATTTGGATGCCTCTGGCCCTCCTTTCTTTTTGGAAGCAAACATGTCAGTATTATTATCTTTGAGTTATATCTTACTAACACATGGTACAAAGAAGTGTTCAGTTGGTAAGACGAGATTTTCACATATGAACTAATCAAGAGAAGATCTGTAGCTTCTACCTTCTAGTTGTCACTCTTATTCATACTCTTCTCTCTATGCCCATGGCCACTGCTATTGTTCAGGCCTTCAATACCTCTTATCCAAACAACTGTGCCAGTCATAACCTACTTAGGGATTCTGCTTTCTCTAGTTCCTCTTACTCCATGCCTTTGGAAAAGGGAACCATATTATTCTTAAAAAATGAGACTGTCCTGGACAGACTAAGATGTACAATAATCCTATATCAGAGTGATTTTGCTCCACTGTTCATAATTCCTCAAATGCTCCTTTCCACTACAGGATCAAATCCAAATTCTGTAGTTAGACAGAGAAGTCCCTTCACCATTCAGCATCACCTGGATTCTATGTAACCAGTCCAGCTTTATATTCTTCTTCTTTTTCTTCACCCTTACTACTTTATATCTTAGTAATGTTATCACTCTCTAGTGCTTAGGTCTTTGCACTTTGTATTCCCCCTTTCCCTTTCCTATCTAACCCATGAATTCTTATTTACCATTTCAATAAAATCTCAAATTATCCAGCTTCTCTGATCCTTCTACTGAGATTTACATGCTGCTTCTTGAGGGCAGGAACTTTGTCTTTTCATCCCTGTAACTTTGGAGCCTAGAACAGTGGCTGACACTAAACAAATGTTTGTTGATTAAATGATTAAGAACGAGAAAATATGTATTCAAGTGCTCAGTTATGTGCCACAGATAATAAATACTTCATGCTAATTTACACAACAGTCTACTTTCTGGGCTAGTAGATAATTTAATTTAGACCTAACAGTAGATAGTATACCTTGGGAAAAATAATCAGTTAAACATTTCACTTATGGATTATTCATCAAGTTGTTGGGTTTTTTTTTGTTTTGTTTTTGTCTTTGTTTTTGTAGTGAAAGTCCACTTTTCAATTAAGTTAAACAAGACTTCACTAATATATGGGTTGTTGTAATACTTTTTCTTTTGTATTTCCAATGTCAGTCAGTAGTACGCCAATCCATCTACTCAGTAGCCTGAGTCAGAAATCTGCGAGTCATCACTGACTCTTACTTTGTCTCTTACTTTCACTTCCCACATGCAGTTGTCCACCAAGGGCCTATATCTTGGTGGACAAGATATCTTTTTAATGCGTCCCTTCCTCATTACTGCTGCTTTGGTTGGGCTCTCATCATCTTTTTCCTGGATTATTCCAACAGCCTCCTCACTAGACTTCTGGTTTCTAGCTGCTGCCCTCTAGTCAAGGCTCTACATCTCTATCAGGATCCTCTAAGTGCAGACCTGATGATGTGATTCTCTGGTTCAGGATTACTTGATAGCTCCCTAATACCTACATACGAAAGCCAAAACTCCTTGGCAATGCAGGGTTCCTAATCTTGCTTCTGCTTCATTCTCTTCTCATATTTTACCACTTCCCCACTAGAACTTTATGCTCTGAGCATAACAAGCTAATGGTAGCTCATGATCAGCACCTGCTTACTCCTACCACTCCAGTATCACCATCCACTGCCAATTCTTTATTTAAGTAACACTGAATAAGTCAGAGTTCCCAGACATAAATCTTCAAGTCTTCTTTCACGCATTGTCTGCCTGAAATGTCCTTCCCATATTTTCTCTGTGGCAAGTTCCTATTTATTCTTAAAAACTCAGCTTAGATGTTGCCTCTTCTCGGAAGGTTTTTCTGATTCCTTTGGATAATTAACAACTTCCCTTTTCTGTGCTACTAATGTATCTTCTCTCTCTCTCTCTATTTTGCCCTTGCTTTCTCTCTGTACTTAATACATCAGAGGTCTATATCTATCTATTTGGAACTTAGAGTTATAAGAATTAGAACTGAAGGGTTCCATAATCATCTAGCATCCATTCAAAGTTGTATCCATGGCTAGAAAAGTACATTATATACATGATAGGAATTCCACAGTTCTTCCTGGTTCATTTAAGGTCTTGGTCACAATGTAACACTTGTGCTGAATTACTCTTTGTAGTAAGCAGCCATCTGCATAAATTCCTTTGTGTGTGCATGGTATTTGATATCATGGTATTTGATATCGCCTTTTAGACTATGTCTTAAGGACAGGAGCCATGTCTTATTCAGCTCTGTATCTTCAGTGCCTCCTCACATGATGCTGTGTATAGAATATATTGAATACTCAATAAATATTTGCTGAATTAAAATAAAAACAGTTAGTTATTTCCTTTTGTAAATGCTCCATAGTTTAAGGCAAGGTTGGAGAATATATTTTACTTGAGCTATATCTATAGAATGCCACCAATTTAGCAATTTCTAAGTTGGTATTTTGTTTTTCAACTTGTCTAACAGATTTCTATATAACTGAGAGTCATCCTTATCCAAGTTAGCTATTAATGAGTAAGGGCCTGGACTTTTTAATTTTAGTGAAATGATGATTTTGAAGTCACTTGAAACCATAATTTTATTAAGCAGTTTATAGTCTTCTAAAAACGTTTTACTGTTAAGTTGCAGAGCAAACTCATTTCTTATAGAAAAAGCAAATAAGCTTCAGCCCAAGCCACTTTCTGAATTATGACCCATTCCAATTGGTGTTCAGTTAATGTGGCTTTATGGTAGTAAATTACTCGACCTTTATTTCCATGGCATGCAGGGGGAAAAAAACTGGAATAAATAAATCTTTTCATGAGGATTACCAAAAGACAACCATTTTGATAAGCTTCTGAACTGAATTGCTATTCAAATAAAATGGCGTCTCCACATCCATTGCCCTTCACAGGAGAGTGTGTGCTGCCATCTACTGATGTTAGGCAAGTATACAAAAGGCCTTGCTTACCATTTTCAATTACAAAACAAGCTTTTAAAGTGATCTTTTCCATTAGTAATTATAATTTGTTTTTGCAAATTACAAAAAAAAAACCACTGTGACACAATAAGGAGAATTTTTTTTAAATCAGCAAATCAAAATCAAAAGAATAAAAAAACCAATACCAGAACAATTTCCTACCAGAACTTCCTAAATAAGAAAGAAACCATTCGTTTGAAAGTACAAGTTTTAAGAAATCACTAAATACTTGTATTTGAAAATAGCATTCATGATATGGGTTCAGTGACAGTGACAGAAAATCCCATCAATATATTTTCTGACATACTAAGCTAAGGTGAACTCCTACCATTAAAAGATTATCCTTTTAGCATAATGAAGATTTTTATTTCTGAGAAAAATGAAAATATTTCTCTAAATTGATATCAGTTCTATATGAGGGTGAATTAGGAAAAAGGGTTTTGAGTGAGGAATGCTGTGGGAGGCGAGAAACGGGGAATAGGTGATTGTGGGGCCCAGAGGAAGGAGGTTGAAGACAAATTTCCTGTATTACACAATTTTACTGATAGTCAATGGCTTTTGAAATTTGTCACTAAAATGTGGGGGTTTCTCTATTTTCCATCAGATCTGGACAGACCACAGTGAACAAGCCAGACCCAGGCTATTTGTCTGTGTAAAACTGAAAGATGATCTGTTCATTTTAGCCATTAATGATCTCTTGGTCTGGCCACCACAATCAGTATCTGCACTGGAAGATGAATAGCTCTGTGGTCTGGTCTGCCCACCTCTTAGTATCCAGACCACTGACGTTGAAGGTGAGGATGGTTTAGCAGAGGGTGCCATCTATTCTTCATCATGCTTATGAGGTCCACTCTACTATGGGCTGTTGGCCACCTTTCTACCTCCCTGTTTCCCTTTTTCCTCTCTTTTACCTTTCAGTCTCTCAGCACGGGGTCCTCTACTCTTTCCCCAAGCTCCAGTGATGCCCTTGAGTCCAAGACACTTGATGGCTTCTGTACAGTGATCATACATCTGGGATTATTCCTGGCTTCAATCGTTCTGTCCCACTGTAAAACCCATACCCCCATTTGTATGCTGAAAATTATAATCATTCTCACTCTGTAAAAATAGCATAATAATTTTATACTACTGTTTATTGTGCTAGATGTCTTACATACTTTAATTTAGTCCTCACATAACCCCTGTTATATAGGTACTATTACTATCTCCATCTTTCAGAAAAAGAAACTGATGTTCAGACATGTTAAGTGACTTGACTAAAAACATACAGCTAGTGTAAGTATATGACTGAGACCCAGCGATGAATTATTTCAAAGCTTGACCCACTGTATTATCTTATTAGGGCTTTATACTCATGTCATAATAACTATCACTCATTGAGCACTAATGATGTGCCTGATACTGTTCCTGAGGTTTTTATATTATCATTATCCCCACTTTTTAGATGAGAAAATTGAGGCTCCAAAAATTTAAATAACTGGCCCTAGGTGACACAACTAATAGCAATGGATCTATTATTTAAATGTAGATCCTTCTGGCTCCAATATCTGCCCTCTTAACAATAGGATGAACTCCCTAGGCTTGGTAGCTCCTGCCTGTAATCCCAGCACATTGGGAGGTTGAGGCAGGAGGACTACTTGAGCTCAGGAGTTCAAGACCAGTCTGGGCAACACAGCAAGACCCCATCCGTACAAAAAATAAAAAGTTAGCAGTGCATGGTGGTGCACACCTAAAATTCTAGCTACTTGGGAGGCTGAGGTGGATCGTTTGAGCCCACGAGGTCAAGGTTGCAGTGGTTATGATTGTCCCAGTACACTCCAGCCTGGATTACAGAGCCAGACCTGTCTCTTACAAAATTGTAGTATGATTCTTATCTTTACAGATTAAAAGCTGAGGCTCAGAGGAGTTAAGTGACTTGTCTAAAGTTATCCTTAGACAAAGGTGTAATGGCAGAGAGAAGGCACAGAGAGGGTAATGGTGAAGCAGGAGCAAGAAAGTCTGACTTTGTGGACTTTGGACTATAGTTCACCGGATCTGCTTCATGAGAAGCACTGCTCCATTTCTCGGCAGGTTCAGTTTGCCAAAATCTACAAGTCCCATGAAAGGTTGGCAGTCACTGGTGGCCTGCTGGCTAGAGGAAAAATGATTGTCTCTATGCCCAAGCATGAAGTCCAGTACAGAAAAAAAACCCCCACGTCATTCTTAATTAAAATGTAATCAAAGTTAGCTTCCCCTTCTTCAACACTTTGCTCAGTGTAGAGCAGAATAAACAACAAATAAGGGCACAGCTCTAGCACCAGTAGAGTATACAAGCAAAGCAAAATTTGGGCCCAAGAAAATAATGCTTGCTTCTCTGTCAGCTAACTTAACAAAACTATACAAGCATTTTTGTTGTAATAAATCTATTGCGATTTGAAATGGATACTTTATTAAAGCAAGTTAGATATTTAAAATCTGATATAATCACATAGGTCATGTCTACATATGCAAAATAAAGGAAAACATTGTGGCAATTGTCTGAATAATTGAACTTAAATTATCCAGGCAATTCTTTCATTTCACCCTTCCTTTTTACAAAAATAGGCAGAAACAAAGTAGGCAGGTAATGGAAAAAGTGAAAGCTTTGAAGGTAAACAGGTCTCAGTTCAAACTTTGGCTGTGCCACACATTGGTATGCTGACTTGGTCACTTAAGCTTTTTAGAGTTTACTCCATTCGCTGATCTGTAAAGTGAGTATATTATGATCAGCTGCAAGGAATTACTGTGAAAAGAAACTATGATAATGTATGTAAAGTGGCTCATACAGAAGATGCCCAATAAATGAGAATTATTTCTGCTGTTATGACAGCAAATTGTTAGTATTAGTGCTAGTGGCATATTTAATCATGAATGGTAAAGTCAGTTAGCAAAAATCTAGCAACTGTAGTTCTGAGTGCTCACTGACAGCTGCAACTCCGACCTTTGCCTTTCCAAATGCTTCTAACTCAAATGTCTCAATCTCAGCGCTGTTGACATTTTGGATTGAATAATTCTTTATGGTAAGGCAGGTGGAGGGTAGCTGTCCTGTGCACTGTAAGATGTTTAGAAGCATCCTTATCCTCTACACACTAGATGCTACTAGCAATCTGTGAATCATGACAATAAAAACAGTCTCCACACCTTGCTAAATGTCCTTTGGAGGGCAAAATCATCCTACCACCATCTCTGCAGAGCCTCCCTGTGGCCTGTAGTGGGAATTACTCTCTTGTTTTTCTGAGGTCTTTTTTTTTTAGTTGAAATGAGATTTTTTAAATTCTCTAATTGTATCATACTATTAAATCATATTTTCCTAAAAAGATTAAGTTTCTTGATGACAGGAAAGTTTAATTCTATTGTGTTCTCCAAAGTTTCTTGTATAAAACAGACAAATAGGAACTCAGGAAAGATGTATGTGTTTATTTTTTTCATTCATTAACTCAACAAGCGTTTGTTGTACACCTTTACATAATAGGCATGAACTAGGAGTTGGACATATAGGGAAAAGGACATAGTCCCTGTCCCTGAGAAGCTCACAGTCTAGTGAAGAAATCAGACTAATATGGTGTGATATGTTCTCCAATAAAAGTGGTAAAGAAGAGAAGCCCTTAACTTGCACTGGGAGAGACAAGCAACTGTTTTCTGAGGAGGCAACTTTTGAGCTGAGTTTTGAAGGATGAGTAGGAATTAGTTAAACTGGGGGTTGGGGGGCACTGACTGCTGATATCTAGCAATTTGTTAGATGCTTTTGTAGTATGAGTTTAATGAATATGCTTTATAAACCTTTAACTTTTCAGCAGAGAACATATATATTTTTTATCTTCTTGACCCAGGAAAGTAACTAGAAGGTAAGTGTTTTATAAACTGGGGCAACAAGTGTGTACACACGAGCATGTACATACTGACACTGAGGAAGGAAGCCACTAGCATTTGCTGGTTCTGTCTCTCCTGCCACGTAGAAATGCTTCTGAGTTAAGGGGAAAACTATATTATTTGTGGTTCCAAGTTTTGATTGACTATTGGGCTTTGAGGTTGACATATTTATCATCACTGATTAGTTGAGGGCCCTTGAGTTATGATCATAACATATTTTATCAGACTATTCTATATCTTTTGAAGATATAATCTTAAAACTTGCTACTTAATTTGTCTTATCAAGTTTTCACCTCAATTGATTCCTTCAAGTAAAAATATTTAATTCCTGTCAAATTAGGAGTGGAAGGGAGGAAGTATCTGGCACATGCAGTGAGTCCCAAAGTTGTCATCTCATGATTTTGGGAAGCCTGAAGTTAATATAAGCAGATTAAAACCTCCAAAGGCTCAATTCCCATCTTAAATGGCTTATGAGAAACAGTCCCATGAAGAAAATAATCACGATAGAAGTACTCACTTAGTTTCTCTAAGATCTCCTCATCTGTCATCTTGGATTTTTTTCTTTGCCGATCTGTGTTTCTGTACAAAGTACTGGAATTGGCATTCTCAGCAGAGGGTGGTGTGACCTCTTTATTTGGTGCTGCTTGTGAAGCAATGGATTCAACCACAGAACGAGTGTAGATCTTAAAAAACAAAAACAAAAATTAAAACAGCAGGCCAAGGAAAGAGCGTGGAGTCAAGGTATTGTCATATCAATGAATTTTTTAAGTGGTATTTTCTTAAAAAGAAAAACAAAAGGACTTTAAGTAGCTGAAAGTACAACACCCTTGAAAGATCATGGGAGCTAGTCTTTGGACGTCCCTATACATGCCCTGCTAATTCTGATCTGGGGACCTCTGTTTATGCAATTCTTCCTACCTGGTTTACATAGATTTCCTTCCTTATCTTAACTTCTCCAACAGTTTTATAACTTAGCGGTTATTTATGTATTGTTTGTTATTATTCTCTACTTGTTTAATGTGCTAATCTTGTATTCTCAAACAACATCCTCAAAACCTTGGTCATATCTTATACTCTAGTTCTTGGAACATAAGGATGTTTAATAGGTACTAGTTGTTTAACTGTATTCTAACCCTATGACTATTCCAAAGGGCATTTTTTGACTCATTTGAAAGTAGTCACTTGTGACTTACTGATTTTGTATGCTCTGGTCTTGGTGCAATAACTGGTGGGGGCTCATTGTCATCTTCTTCCTCCTCCTCCTCTTCATCTTCTTCTTCAGACACAGGAGGGGCCAATGGAGGTTCAGATGCTGTTTTTGTACTCTTGTGACAAAAACAAAGTTTAAAGACAAGGTATTAACTCCTCATTGCTTTTCTACAGAAATAAAACAAGGGAGATGAAATATTTATGTAGAGATAGGAGGAAACTACATCTTTCACAAATGATCAGAATCATCAACAATTTGGTGGCCAGGACCTGCTCACCTGAATACAATCTCTGAACTTATTCAGAGATAAATTCATGTCATGGCTTAAAGAACCATGAAGTCTAATTTTTTTAAAATTTTCATTGAGCTCAAAAACAGTAGACTACTATTCACTTAATATATTAAAGCTCAATATTTTTGAAACATATTAAAAATCAAATTAATTGCTCTTAGAGCCTTGAACCTATACTGGGCAGATTATCAATTTATTGATCAACAGTTAGTCATCTGGAACCATTTTCTACCTGAGGATCAGAGCATGCATATGGATATGGTATTAATACAGCTCTGTAAATACTCACTAAGAACAAGCAAGGCAATAAACGTATCTTCCCTGTCCAGCCTCCTGGAAAGAAGCACTCAGAGAATAATAGACATGAAGATCTAAGGAATACCCATCCATATGAATAATTACTCAATATTAACCATAATGTAAATGGTAATTTGCAAGGTTTATAAACTGCAATAATACAACAGTATTGTGGTACAATAGTGACAATACCTAGAGTCAGTTCTTGATAATTCACGTTAATACAGTGGTAAAATGGTTCTGAAGTTGGATTTTGAAAGAACTATAGCCATAATTCTTAAAGTGTGGTTCCCAGATCAGCATCATTAGCATCATCAAAGAACTTGTTAGAAATATAAATTTTCAGGCTCTAGCTAAACCCATAGGTTTCAGAAACTCTGGAAGTGGGGCTCAGCAATCTGTGTTATAACAGGTCTTCCAGGTGATCCTAATGCATGCTCAAGTGTAAAAACCATGATCTATGGCTTAGGTCTGCACTGTTTAATATGGCAGCAACTAGCCACATAAGGCTACGGAACACTTAAAATGTGGCTAGTCTGAATTGAGATGTTTCAAGTGTAAATTACATGCCAGATATTGTATACTTAATATAAAACAATTATAAAATGTTAGATTAATGCTTCTTAAATTGATTATATGTTGACATGCTGATATTTTGAGTATATTGGGCTAATAAATATATTACTAAAATTTATTTCACCTATTTTTTACCTTTTAATATGCAGTTACTAGAAAATTTAAAGTTACAAATACAGTTTACATTTCTGTTAGACATTGCTATTATAGGTGGTTTTTATTTTGGTTTTATGTATTTATTTTGTTTTTGTTTATGCCATTGGGTATACTGGCCTAATATATTCTGACAATGAATTTTCGTTCCTTGAGGACAAAGCTCCTGAGGCAGTTATAGGCAGCCTATTACATCAAAGGACCTCAGTCGTGATTAAAAATTCAAGGTTGCTCTTCTACATTCATGTATAAACCCATGGTGAAGTAATAAGGTGTAATCATAAATCTGATAGGAGCCAGAAAGATTTATTGACTGTGAGAAGAAAGACAACATAGAATTTATAAACAAGTATTTGAAAGAATATTTGATTGCTCTGATATAGATGCTAAGTGGTTTATAGATTGAAGTTTGTATGTTTACTGGACATCGGTTTATTTATGCACCTAGATTTATTCTTAATTTAGCCATAACTACTGGACTATTACATTGTATAGTCATGTGGATAGCAACATATGTTAATGACATTAATTTTCCAGATTTAAAAAAAATCACTTTCTTCTTGCAAAATTCTTCAGGGCACTTCCATGGGCACAGGGAGAAATGGCCTTTGGGTTGTTGAAATTTGCTTTGATATTATTCTCCAGAAAGTTTTGCCCTATATTACACCAGCTGGGTTCAATAATGTACCTAATCACTGTCTCTTTGTAGAAAGGTGGAAGCTGGGTACTTTTTTATATGGAAAATGGTGCTATTTTATCCATTAGGCAAAATGAACCTTGCCCAGGGTTGATAAGTACTATGTGGGCCTATGAAAGTGTTTGACATCAGAAATAAGCATCAGCTCCAAAAAGCCACAAGAAAACTATAAAGTCTAAATTAATTAATGTCTAATTAAATGTCTGTTAATATAATAATGTGCCGACTTAACTAGTCACTTATGTTTAGCATTTATAGAAATTTCATATTAAATATAAATTTTAGGTTAGATTTTCTTATTTAGCAACAATTCTTGAGTATTTGTTTACAATGATTTAACAAGAAATTATACCTAATCACACATTTTAAAAGTTACTATAAGCAAATAATTTCAAAATTATTATTTCAAAAATCATTTCAAAAATTTGTAGCAAAAATATAAAGTGAAGTATGGGGGCCCCTTATTATGTTTGAATTAATGCATGATGTGACCCCTACAAGTGAGAGTATATACAGTCTATTAAGCTCTAAAAATGGCCCTAGAGGCTAAAAGAATGATTCAAGGTCTGTTCTTCTTGGTTCAACCCTTAAACTGGTACAAAGACCAATCAATGCCTACTGGGCAAGGGGCAACCTTACACATCTTAAGTCTTAATACTTACTAGATAAGACCCACCTGCAAGATTTCACTGACTTTTAACATTCATTACAGTCTTCACTGCTAATTTCAAATGGAGGCCATTCCCCAACTCAAAGGAATGACTTAAGGGACTATTGGAAAACCTGAAGGTTTTTATCCTCTGAAAGTTTGTGGGAAAAGAAAAAGACAGATATTTCTGTTTAGTTTGGACCAAACACTATCCTGCCATATTGGTTGGTTGACTGGAAAGAATGTGCAGCATTGAGTGGATAGTATGTTTTGAATTATGGTTGGGCCAGAGAGCATTAAATCCCCAGCAATCCACCAAGGATACAATTCTTTGGTACCGAGAACTGAAATGATTACAGGCATGTGCCACCATGCCCAGCTAATTTTGTATTTTTATTAGAGATGGGGTTTCTCCATGTTGGTCAGGCTGGTCTCGAACTCCCAACCTCAGGTGATCTGTCCACTTCAGCCTACCAAAGTGTTGGGATTACAGGTGTGAGCCACAGCGCCCAGTCGGGAATGTAGTTCTTAAGCTAAGTTGGGTCCTGGGCTCTTAGGGTTTGGTCTATCTTCCCAGAAAAAATACAGGTAGATACATGCTTTTACATATAACTTCAACAGTTCATAGATGTAAAGCCCACTTACGGACTCTAAGTTCTGAACGTTGCTCTAGAGACTACACCAGCTAGAATAGCTACCTTAGGAAATTTTATTTTCTCTGAGCTTAATTTTTAAAGGTCAAAGAACTTAGAGGTAAGGACTTTGGAAGTTTTAGATAACATAAAATATTGTTTGGGGGCCACTTTTGGTGATTGTTTATGTAGATTTTAGGGTTCTACTCCAGATCTACTCTGGGAGTGGAGCCCTGGAATCTGCAATCTAACAGAATCCCCAGGAAATTCTGATACACATTGAAGTAAAAGAACTACTAAACTCTGGTAAAAAAAAAAAATTAACCAGTACTGCAAATCACAAATGAGCAATCTGTCAACTGCACACCCAGTTTCTCTAGATTCAGATAATGGCACGTTCAATATGACAACACAATAATGACATATTATTGCTGTTACCTTCCACTTGGAATACTAACTTAGGATTCTAAATATGTGATTTGTTTTCAACCGTATAATAAATATATGAAATTTTAAAATTAGCCTCAAATAAAGAGTGGGTCCCTGAACAGTATTTGAAATTGAATGCACTAATTTCAAAGATATTGAATGTCTAGAATGAGTTAGGATATCCACAAATAAGCAATAAAGTAGGTGTTATATGACTATGAGATTTATCCCTGAGTTCAATATTAATTACAGAATCATGAGTTTAAAACACTTAGAGAATACAACATTGCTTCTGTTTTAATTCTTACCCAGGCTACTAAATGATACCAAAACTTGTGATCAGTTCAGGTATGTCTACAAGGAATAATCAGTCCCATTAAATCATATTCTATAGACAGCCAGCTCTACTGGGAGTTTTTATGATGCAAAAAGACATACACATTGCAAAGTGTATTCTCCTCTAGAACTAAAAGAAAAACACAGGGTGCAGTTATCCATTCCTAAGAAACTGAGTCCCACTGAAGTTATCCAAATAGAATATCAGGGTCCAATTCAGTTCATTCAATCAATAGAAACCTAGCCTTCATCAAGCAGTCAACCCATTCTCTTCACCTGAAAGTCCTGCCAGCCCTTCAAACTCAAACTGTCCAATAAAGAACTCAGCATCTTCCCACAGAAATTGGCTTCTCCTGAAAGACAGTATCATTATATTTTTATCCACGCACCTATCGGTTTAAGCCTGTATTCATCTCTGACCTCACCCTTTCCTCCAACATCCAATTAATAATCTAAATATCTCTAGAATTTGAATGTAATCTCCCCATTCCTACTGTTACTACCTCATTTCTGGCTCTGATTACTTGGATGCTTGCAATATTGTCCCTTCTTGTCACCCTTCATCCAGTCTAACCTTTTGTCCTTAACTCATTCTAGACATTTGCTATCAGATTACTTTTCCCAAGGTATACGCATTAATCACTTAACTTTCATACTCCAAAACACTTAAAAAGCTTCCCACTGGATACTGGCATAGCCAAATTCCTTGCAATACCATTTAAGAGCCTGTATGATTTTGGTTCTAGCTTAACCTTCAAAGCTTATTTCCTGATTCCCTTTCTTCCATCCCAGTCTTTATTCAACCCCATATTCCTGTTTCCTTGCTCTACTCACCAACATGCCCTTTCGTATGCTTTTGTTTGTTTGTTTTTGAGACAGAGTCTCAGTCTGTCTCCCAGGCTGGAGTGCAGTGGCACGATCTCAACTCACTACAACCTCCACCTCCTGGGTTCAAGCGATTCTTCTGCCTCAGCCTCCCTAGTAGCTGGGATTACAAGTGCATGCCACCACGCCTGGCTAATTTTTGTATTTTCGTAGAGATGGGGTTTCACCATATTGGCCAGGCTGATATCAAACTCCTGACCTTGTGACCCACCTGCTTTGGCCTCCCAAAGTGCTGGAATTACAGGCATGAGCCACCGCACCCAGCCTATGCTTTTCTTTGTACTTAAAATGCTCTTCCCATCTTCAAAGATCCAGATCTCACCTGACCTTTAAGGTCTAGCTCAAATGCCAACTTTTTATGAAGCATTTTCTAACTTAACAATTAACAAATACATATCAAGTATCTATTTGGTATCTCCCACTGAGCTTCAGCCCTTAGAGAAAATGGCTTGCTTCCCTTTCCCTTCCCAGCTAAAAGCAATCTATTTCTCTGAAATCTCATAGCACATGGACATATTTTAAAATATGTAATACTATCCATATTGTTGGGGTTTTTTTGAGACAATTTGCTCTGTCACCAGGCTAGAATGCAGTGACATGATTACAGCTCACTGCAGCCTCCACCTCCAGGGGTCAAGTGATCCTCCCACCTCAGCCTCCAAAGTAGTTGCGACTACAGGTGTGCACCACCACACCATGTTACAGAGGTTGGTCTTAAACCCCTGGGCTCAAGCAATCTGCCTACCTCGACCCCCAACAATGCTGGGACCACAGGCATGAGCCACTGTGCTTGATCACTATTCATATTGTATTGTACTTTTTTTTTTTTGAGACAGAGTTTTGTTCTTGTCGCCCAGGCTGTAGTGCAACACCACGATCTTGGCTCACCACAATCTCCACCTCCTGGGTTCAAGTGATTCTCCTGTCTCAGTCTCTGGAGTAGCTGGGATTACAGGCCTACGCCACCATCCCAGCTAATTTTGCATTTTTAGTAGAGATGGGGTTTCTCAGGTTAATGTATTGTACTTTTTTATGTTTTTATGTTTACCTTCCCCTACCAGTCTGAGATCCAAACTTCCTAGAGCTTAAAGTGGCAGTTGGTAAATATGTGCTAAATAAGTAAAAATCTATTTATTTTCTCTCTAGACAGTGAGATTATTATTTTTTCTAACTTAATGGAATATTTTAGCTATTACATCGACTTTGTTTTAATTCTACAAGCAAAACCAATAGAGCCAATTTCAAAAGAACAGTTAATATCTTAGGAGAAGACAAAAACCAATACAGAGACTATCCTAGCAAGTTGGTGTTTCAAAAGCTGACCAACCTAAAAAATAATAACTATTTTTTTTGCCAGAATACCCAGTCAAGATTGCACAAGCATGATATTACTGAAATCAAAGGAGGTCAAGTATGCACTGATCATGGAAGGTTGTCATTTTTGTTGTTCCCATTTTCCTATGACCTCCCTTCACCTGTTGTTTTCAGTGTGGCCCAGGAAGCTGTCATAGCAAAGGAGGAGGAAGAGGGGAAATGACCAGTCAGATAAGAGGGCCATATTCTGTTCTGTTTTGGGGAATCTGAGCAAAGTGCAAGTACAAGCTTCGTGTGTGAAGACAGTGAGTTTTTCCTCTTGTGGCCATGTAAAAATAACAGTTTACATATAATAAATATATATTGTGTGCCAGGTGCTATACTAAGTACTTTATGTGCATTATCACATTTAATATTCACACAAGATCTAGGAGGTAAGTACTATTATTATTCCTTCTTATGGCTGAGGAAAGAAGCTCAGAGAAGCCAAGTTACTTTCCCAAAGTGACATACTTAGTAAATGGAGAAATCAGATTAAATGTCTATGTGCAGAGTCTTCACTCTTTTTTTTATTTTATTTTTAACTGTAGTAAAATATATATAACAAAATTTACCATCTTCGCCATTTTTAGGTATACATTTCAGTACTGTTGAGGGCACTGTTGTATAATCATCACCAACATTCATCTCCAGAACTCTTTCTGTCTTGCAAAACTGAAATTCTGTACCCATTAAACAACTCCCCACTTCCCCTTCCCCCAGCTCCTGGTAACTAGTCTTCTACTTTCTGTCTCTATAAATTTGACTCCTTTAGGTACCTCGTATAAGTGGAATCATATAGTATGTGGCCTTTTGTGATTGGCTTATTTCATTTAGCATAATGTCCTCATGGTTCATCCATGTTCTAACATGTCAGAATTATCTTCTTTTTAAGGCTTAATCATATTCTACTGTTTATATATACAATCTTCTGTTTAACCCTTTATCTGTTGGAGGAGACTCAGGTTGCTTCCACCATTTGCCTACTGTGAATATTGCTGCAATAAACGTCGATGTTTAAGTATCTCTTGGAGACCCTGTTCTCTATTATCGGTATATGCCCAGAAGTGGAATAGTTAGATCATATGGTTAATACTAATTTTAATTTTTGAGAAACTGATATACTATTTCAGAGCCTTTACTCTTTACAACTAAAAAAGATCAAGTGGGGTCATACTGACTACCTAGGCTGATGTCAAGCAGACAAGCATTTGTCTGCTATAAAAGGAAGAAGAATCAGCTTGGTCATCAATTACTGTTTGAATAAATGGTTAACAGACTTTAGGTAATGCAAATTATTTCACCCCTAGAAAAGCAAATGAGGCAAGAAGTAATTTTTATCAGGATATCAAAATGAAAATCACAGAAAGGGAAGCCTTATATGAGATTATTTTCCGTCTAATGTGCACAAATACTCTTTAAGAAACTATAGCACTTCCAACAAGTAGGTTATTTATTTTCCAGTCATTTTTCTGATAAAAATTATCTATGTGACTTTGGCCAAAGGCACTTCCCTCACTGTACCTCTGTTTGTTGGAACAAGTGACATACAAAACGTATACTGTTATAACCTTAGAGAGGCTATTTAATTTCTCTAAACCTCAGTTTCATCATCTGTAAAATGGGAAGAATGGTAAGACTTAGTTAATTAGGCAGTAAAAAAGATTAAGTACATGTAAAAATAAAATTATCTTACAGTTTACATTGTAACTGTACACTGTAGGTGTTCAGAGAAATTTCTATTAACATGATTATTATTCTCAAGGTTCTACAGGTAAATCTTTAACACTGTCGATATAAAGACCCTGTACAAGAATGTTCCTAGTAGCTTTATTTGTAATAGCCAGCAACTGAAAATAGACTAGAGAGCCTTCAGAGTATGAATTGTTAAACAAACAATAGTACAATCATATTCTGGAATGTGCAGAGATAAAAAGGAACACAAATTACTGATATACACATTACCAAAAGCTAATCCCCAAAAGTCACATGCTGTATTATTTCATTTACATGAAATGTCAAGAAAGCCAAATCCATAAGGGCAGAATCCATATTATCTTGCCTATGACTAGGGTGGGGTGGGTAGAGTTAACTGTAAGCAGGTATGAAGGATTTTACTGGGGTGATGGACATGTTCTAAAACTCAAATGTGCTGATAGTAGCACAGGTACATTTACCAAAACTCATTGAATTGTTTACCTGAAAATAGGTAAATTTTATATACCGAATTATACCTCAAAATTGTTTTTAAAAGACTCTCTATCTAAAAACTGGATTTGTGCAGTTGCATTCTCTTAAATCTCTGGAAACACCAATTATATGAAACAGTTTTCAATTTTTCACTTACCGAAGGATGGGCTGCTATGTATCCATGTGCGCTTTTATCTGCAAAGTGAGATGAAAGAGGTCATCTTTGTTTCATAAAGACCGTTTTATTTAGAGACCATATGAGAAAAATAAAAATAAAAAACTGCATGATTTTAACTAGAAGGACATGCTCCAATCCAGGTCAATTTACAATTTAATGAAGGCCTCTAGTGAATCTCATTTATATTCAAGAATGTCAAGATTACCTACTCTTAACTGGTATGATTCTATACATTTATAGTAGCCCCCCTTATCTGAAGTTTCACTTTTTGTGCTTTCAGCTATCTGTGGTCAACTGTGGTCCAAAAATATTAAATCAAAAATTACAGAAATAACCAATTCACAAGTTTCAAACTGCATGCCATTTCAAGTATGATAAAATCTCATGCCATTCTGCTCCATTCCACCTGAAACATGAATCATCCCTTTGCCCAGGGTACCCACTCTGTTTACACTATCAGCCTATTAGTCACTTAATAGCCAGGTTGGTTATCAGAACAACTGTGGAGATACCACAATGCTTGTAGTCAAGTACCCCTTATTTTCCTTCATAATAGCCCCAAAGAGCAAATGTAGTGATCCTGGCATATTGTTATGATCATTCTATTTTATTATTAATTATTTGTTTATCTCTTATTGTGCCTAATTCATAACTTTATCATAGGTAAGTACATATAGAAAAACAAAAAACATAGTATACATAAGGTTCCATACTATCCATGGTTCCAGCCATCCACTGGAGGTCTTAGAACATATTCCATATGGGTAAGTGAGGAACTACTGTATATCTAGGATTTTTCCCACTTTCCTCTCTCCCTCCTTTCCATTCCTTCCTTCCACCTTCCTGTGCTATCTGTATCTTCTCCTCCTCTTCTCCTCTGCTATGAGTCAGTCCCAACACCAGAGCATTCAGAAAACCTATGATAAGGTACACTCAGCTCGGTACAGTACAACCGTACAGTTGAGTTTTAATATAGTTGTCAGGATTTCATCTTTGTAAGTTGAGAGAAATATGGCATATAAAACTAAGTGTTAAACAGCAATGGCTATTTGGAGTAAAGAACAAACTCTGAGACTCTAAAGTGTATTTGTGGTTACACTGAGATGATTTCTTGAATACATTTTCAGTTCTGGTTGCCTATGGTTCTAACTTGGAGCACAGCTCTTAATTTTCTCACATAAAACATTTTTTTGATGTGTCACCAGGATCTCTTATTTTATTCTATGTGGAAGCTTAAATATAGTAAAAAGTTTCCCTTGATGGCTTTCTTTTTAGGTTTTCAACATTGGGTAACAGCAGTTAAGCAATCTTCTCATTTTAAAAAAGTCAAATTTAGCATGTAAATTGCCATATGCATTCAAATTTGGGTTTTGATATTTGATATGGCCAAATCACATACTCTTCCCCTTCCAAGGGTATCCTTGGATCATTCTCAAAGAAACTTAAAGGCTGCCTAATACTAAATCCAGTGCCAAGAGGTAGGGGCTCTTTATAGCTGGAATACTAATGATAATATGCCCTTCATCCTTTACATGTTAAATAATAAGTGAATAAATTATTGTAGAGAGAATTCAAATCATCTGTCTCAAAATGTGAAAGTATTATTTGGTGTATACATTTTAGTTGCTGATATGGTTTGCCTGTGTCCCCATCCAAATCTCAACTTAAATTGTATCTCCCAGAATTCCCACATGTTGTGGGAGAGACCCAGCAGGAGGTAATGGAGTCATGGTAGCTGGTCTTTCCCGTGCTATTCTCAAGGTAGTGAATGTCTCACAAGATCTGATGTGTTTATCACAGGTTTCTGCTTTTGATTCTGTCTTATTTTCTCTTGCTGTTGCCATGTAAAAAACGCCTTTTGCCTCCCACCATGATTCTGAGGCCTCCCTAGCCGTATGGAACTGTAAGTCCAATTAAACCTCTTTTTCTTCCCAGTCTTGGGTGTGTTTTTATCAGCAGCATGAAAATGGACTAATACACTAAATTGGTACCAGTAAAGTGGGGTGTTATCAAAAAAGATACCTGAAAATGTGGAAGTGACCTTGGAACTGGGTAACGGCAGAGATTGGAAGAGTTTGAAAGGGCTCAGAAGAAGACATAAAAATGTGGGGAAGTAATTAGCTGGGCACGGTGGAGCGTGACTGTAGTCCCAGCTACTCTGGAGGCTGAGGCAGGAGAATTGCCTGAACCCAGGAGGCGGAGGTTGCGGTGAGCCGAGATCGCGCCATTGCACTCCAGCCTGGGTAACAAGAGTGAAACTCCGTCTCAAAAAAAAAAAAAAAAAAATGTGGGGAAGTTTGGAACTTCATAGAGGCTTGTTGAATGACTTTGTTCAAAATGCTGATAGCAATATGGACAATAAAATTCAGACTGAGGTAGTCTCAGATGGTGATGAGGAGCTTGTTGGGAACTGGAGCAAAGGCAACTCTTGTTATGTTTTAGCAAAGAGACTGATGGCATTTTGCCTCTGCCTTAGAGATTTGTGGAACTTTGAACTTGAGAGAGATTATTTAGGGTATCTGGTGGAAGATATTTCTAAGCAGCAAGGCATTCAAGAGGAGACTTGGGTGCTGTTAAAGCTATTCAGTTTTATAAGGGAAACAGCATACAAGTTTGGAAAATTTGCAGCCTCAATATGTGATAGAAAAGAATAACTTATTTTCTGGGGAGAAATTCAAGTTGGCTGCAGAAATTTGCATAAGTAGCAAGGAGCCTAATGTCAATCTCAAAGACCATGGGAAAAATGTCTCCAGGCCATATCAGAACTTCGCTGCAGCCCTTCTCATCACAGGCCCAGAGGTCTAAGAGGAAAATGTGGTTTTGTGGACCAGGTCCAGGGTCCCCATGCTGCGTGTAGTCTAGGGACTTGGAGCCCTCTGTGCCAGCTGCTCCAACTGTCTGAAAGGGACCAACATACAGCTCAAGTTGTGACTTCAGAGGGCGGAAGCCCCAAGCCTTGGCAGCTTCCACATGATGTTGAACTTTTGCATACCCAGAAGTCAAGAACTGAGGTTTGGGGATGTATGCCTAGATTTCAGGAGATGTATGGAAATGTCTGGATGCTCAGGCACTGCAGGGGTGGGGCCCTCATGGAGAACCTCTGCTAGGGCAGTGTAGAAGGAAAATGTGGGGTCAGAGCCCACACATAGAGTACCTACTGGGGCACTGCCTAGTGGAGTTGTGAGAAGAGGGCCACCATCTTCCAGACTCCAGAATGGTAGATCCACTGACAGCTTGCACTGTGCACCTGGAAAAGCTGCAGACACTGAACAGCAGCCTGTGAAAGCAGCCCGGAAGGAGTCTGTACTCTGCAGAGTCACAGGGGCAGCGCTGCCCAAGACCATGGAAACCCACCTCTCGTATTAGTTTGATCTAGACGTGAGTCCTGCAGTCAAAGGAGATCACTTTAGAGCTTTAAGATTTGACTGCCCCACTGGATTTTGGACTTGCCTGGGCCCTGTAACCCCTTTGTTTTGGCCAATTTATGCCATTTGGAATGATTGTATTCACCCAATGCCTGCACCCCTATTGTATCTAGGAAGTAACTAGCTTCTTTTTGATTTTACAGGCTTATAGGTAAAAGGGACTTGCTTTGTCTGAGATGAGACTTTGGACTATGGACTTTTGGATTAATGCTGAAATGAGTTAAGACTTTGGGGGACTGTTGGGAAGGAATGATTTGTTTTGAAATGTGAGGACATGAGATTTGGAGGGGCCAGGGGCAGAATGATATGGTTTTGCTGTGTCCCCACCCAAATATCAACTTGAACTGCATCTCCCAGAATTCCCACATGTTGTGGGAGGGACCCATCGGGAGCTAATTGAAACATGGGAGCCGGTCTTTCCCATGCTATTCTCATGATACTAAGTCTCATGAAATCTGATGGGTTTATCGAGGTTTTCCACTTTTGCTTCTTTCTCATATCCTCTTGCCGCTGACATGTAAGAAGTGCCTTTCACCTCCCACCATGATTCTGAGGCCTCCCCAGCCACGTGGATCTGTAAGTCCAATTAAATCTCTTTTTCTTCCCAGTCTCAGATATGGCTTTACAGGCAGCATAAAAACAGACTAGTACAGTTGCTTATAGTGCAAATTTGAACATCAAAGCTCCAAATAAAGGCTAAATCTACACACCAGCAAATGAGGTCAAGATTTGGCAATAACATGGATATTTCAATTTCTAAAAATAGTAAGACATAGTTTCCCCTTTTCAGTCTGATTTTGGGGTCTTATCAAAATAACCTGACACCAAAATAGTGTGTGCTGTGTCATCATGGTACAAATCAATGAATCTAAGGAACAAAATAAATTTCCAGAGGCCACAGTTTCATGCATACAACTCTTACTTCATGAACATATCACAAAGCCTGATAAATGACGTCTTTATGCCAGTAAAGAGACAACAATTGACTGTTAATTTGAGCTCAGTACTACTACTTCACTATATAATTACCTTATTTGATTCTAAAAATACTTGAGTTGTATAACTTAACATCAACCTCAAATTCCAACTCATTTTTGGTTTCCTTATGCTGACAACATATGAAGGTAAGGGAACTGACTTCAAATGTCCTACAGACATTTTGTTCTTAACATGATGCTCTTTACCTTTGATACCATAGACTTCCTCTTACCTCCTGATGTAAAGCTCATGTATTTCTGGTTGTTGACTGTTTCTTTGGAATCATAGAATTTGAGAACATCTAGAACAGCTTGTGGGTTCTTCTTCTGTTCTAATTTTGTTATGTTGGAGGTTTGGAGTAATCGTGCCCATTGCTCAGGAATTCCCTGTGGACAACCAAAGGGAAAGAATGGTAGCTCAGAACATTCTGCAGCAGCATTTTTATGTTCCAGTAAAGTTCTTCACCAAGAAGCCCATGCTACCTGTAGGATTACACTTGGGAAACTGAAGTTACATTCTAGATTTAAAGTTAGTAACTTAATAATGCAATCATTCTCTTCTCTAATAAAACACATAGGTAAAACTAGGATCCAACTTAAAAAGGGTGGGTGGGAGTATGACTGTGATAGAAAAAAAAAGCACATGAAAATCACCTCCATATTGACTCTGCTCATCCATGAAATGATGTTTACGGCTTAGCTTATTTTTTTTCTGGCGACTCAGGGCAGACATAGCAAGACTTCTCTCTAAATCAGCATAGTATAGTGCAGATCAGTGAGTTTTATGACTAGAATAACACAAGCTGTTCTGATCATGTAATCAGAATATATTTTGGAATAAAAGGAGTCTCACCTTTGGTCAGGTTATACTTTGTGATTATAAAATGTAATTTTTGGGGCCTAGAGCTTTACTATAAAGGCAGATTGGGAGGAGACAAAAATAGAATTGTGGAGGAGCAAGAACCACTGAGATGCTAAACAGTAACATTAACGCTGCTTTGGGCATTTTCCCTGCAGCTTTCTTCAGGGCATGCTCTCCTTTTCCTCTCCTCTCTCTCTCCCTTGCTCCTCACTTCATTTGTAGGCCACATAGATCCTGGAGACTATGAAAACCACGCCAAAGCCTTGTAAGAATTTGTAATAATCTGAAGCATTTAGAGCAGAGAGGAGGGAGTATTTGGAAATCTAACCAAGGAGAATTGCAAAAATTCGAGGTTAGCTTTGGATTGCACATTCAACATTCTTTCCTACATGTTCAGCCTACAGATGTCCCAATTTCATAATTATGAACCTCCAAGAGCAACTTGGAGAGATAAACAGATACACTATTTCTGAAGTGCATCCAGACACAATTTATGTGGCTTTGTTCTATGAAGTCTCGGCAAAACAATGTGTGACGTGGGCCTCCAGAGTTTGGAAATGACAACAAAAAAGTGAGATAAGCCAAGCAACAACTCTACTGCACACACATGAACCTGCTGCTGCAGTGCTATGACATCTCAAAGAAGCACTTTGATGCAAGCTTCTTTTGGGCCTGTGACGCACCTCTGGGAGCTTCCCTGGGCACATCTGTGAGCCATAGAGATCTGGCTGTAATGGACGTAAATAAAGAAAGAAAAGAAAGTTAAAACAGAATGTGGGACAACTTAGAAGGTGGGAGGTGATGAAACCAATGGGTCTGAATGGGGGAGTCCCTTCTAAAGTGGGGCAGTTATGAAAATAGGGAGGTTGTAACTAAATCAGGGACAGGACAGGCTACAGGACAACAGATTTAAGAGAACAGAGAAAACGACAATGTTCCAAAGTTTGGATGCATTATTCCACTTTCGGCAAGATGCTTCCTCCATAAATATGTATTAATAAGAATTACCGTTAAATGACTGGAGAAATTACTAAAAAGCAGAAACATGAATTTGGAGGCAAGAAGGATGGCATCATGAAAAGCTCTGACAATAATTTGTAAGTTGTTTTCATAATTGGGTGATCACAGGTAGCCAATGGCCATGTGATAAACTTACAAATTTCAGTTCCCAATTCTGGTTAACCAATTTTAGTTTCAGATTGAAAGTGTGTATGTGGCTAAAATTCAAAGGATGGCTGTATGGAAACATTGAATTTTATTCTCATTGATGTGATTCTTTTGCACTTTGTAGCTAACGTCATGGCTGGCTTAGAGAAAACTAGATAAAGAACATTCCCACATAGCCAGACTCTATGTTTTAAGTTTCTCAGATATTTAGACAAGGGAAAGGGAAACCATTCCATATAAACCATGTATAAATAATTTACATTTTAGTGCTGCAGTTCTAAAATCCCACTTCCCACAAAATAAGACAAGATATAAGGTAACAGCTTTGCCTAAATAAAGATATCTCAAATGCTACAGAAACATGCTTCACCCAGCTGCCTTGGTGATAGGCAAGGTGTTAGGTGCCTTGGCACCCAGCTGCCCTGATTTTGGATATATGTCCTTGATTCCTGGTATTTGGGGTTACTCCAAGCACAGTGAAATGACACTTTTACATGCATTTATCACGCAACTAGATGCTAAAGCCTTAAGCCAAAAATTTGAACTCAGGAGCCCATGCACGATCCCAGTTCTGATTCTAAGTGCAATTAATAGCATTTGGTTAATACTATAATGGCCAAAGGAGTTATGAAGTGTTACAAATTGAGGTATGCATTGCACATAACCACTAGAGCAGACGTTACTGGCATAATCATTACCATAGTCATTAGAATATTTGCAGTTATTATACATTCCCATGGCACTTCTAATCTTTTGTGATAGTCTTATGATCACTAGACAGCAGGAAAAATGCTATCGATAGCAGAAAATCTTGCAGACAACTATACTTACCATATGACTACACTGCTGACATAATTTTGACTACACTGCTGACATAATTTCTTTTTCTAAGTTGAGACAAACCCAATTATTAATAAAACCTGATATTTAAATTTGAATGTATGCCAAAAAGGCACATAGTCAGAAAGCCATCTCATTATGCCATGTTCAGGAACTAATCCCAAAAGTTAGACAGCTAATGAAGACCCTAGGAGTTTGAGCATAAGAAGCAGGAGCACATATCAATGCCTGACTGTGTATACGATAACAACTAGATGTACATCAAGCTGGGGGTTGTCCAGTGTAGCCCAGGAGAATGGCAGCATGATATAACAGGCCAAGCATTCATCTTAAGAAATGATAATTCATATCACTCATACCATTTTTCCCTCTGATTGACTTGAAGCGACCGTCACAGGTCTAGAGGTCTGGAAAAGGGAGTTCTGAAGTATTTGGGACAAAAATGGCAATATAAAGGGTAAGGACTTGTAATCACTGAATACCAAAAATCTCACCTCCCAACCTACTTTTGGCTTCAGGGTCCAAGTGTATGACCAGGTATACAAGGTCATATGGGCCAATTAGCCAGAGGATAATCACCAAGTAACACAACCAATCAGTGTACAAATATTCAAAATAACAAGCCTTTGTAAGACAACTGGATTAGATAGTTCAGGAAATTGCACCAAATTCAACCTCAACAACTACGACAATCAAACTTAACAATATGATTCCCTCCCAACACACAATGAATTAGTGGTGCTACGACAATTAGGACCCAATTCTAAACCCTACCAATAAAAAGACTTTCTTAAAAGCTCGCTTTAATTTGGCATGTTTATACTTAATAAATATAATAATATAGTAAATGTAAATCACAGGTTAAAAAAGTACCAAAAGGGGCAGAATTTGGCATCTTTAAAAATAAGGTATGAACAAGTAGTCACAAAAGATCATCAAGATGACAATAAAGTACTTCCATTGTCCAAATTAGCTTATGTCTTTCTATGTAGTCAATGGATTCATAACAATGGATTACTTCCAAACAGCTATCTTATTTCAAATTGGGGATATTTTTAGAGGTGGGGAGAAGGGTATTTGTTTCGTTATGGTTTGGTTGTATCCAACTGTTTTTCATCATTGGAAAGATTGTTCATCACGTTGGGTTCTTTGGGTTCTAATTGACAGCAAAATGAAAATGCCTGGTGCTGCAGTCAGCAAGATGGTGGTGATTTACTTCCTTTCATTTCCATTCAGAACCCAGAAAGATAAATGAAAGAGCTAAAGGTAGAGATATTGTATCACAAGATGACAAGTAAATTTGAAAAGTAGAAAGAATAAAATATTGGAAAGCAACTAGAATATAACATGAGATAACTGGATGAGAAAACTTCAACATCAGAAAACAAAAAGGAAGAAAAATGAAAAGAAAAATAGGGAATGACAACAATAAAACACAAGGGTAGTTTAAATGAGGAAAAGCATAGAGAACATTAAAATGTCAAAGCTGGAAAAATTAAGTAGTAAAACAGGGAATAGTTATTAGGCAAAACTTTTATACAGTTTAAGGGATTTTCTTGTTTCAAGTGTCAGCAATAATAGTTACAATCTCTTTATAATTTTTAAAAATATAGGTTTTTCAGATTATACAAATTACTTTTTTCTGGTGGTGATGATGGTGGTGGTAGTGGTAATAGCAAGGCTGACATTTCTAAGTGTGGCTAAGAGAATATTCTGCAAATATAGTTAAGACTGACTCAATCTCAAAGCCATTTGAATAATGTCCCTGACTTAAATGATGAAATTGGTTAAATCTTACCTATCTCCACTTTATGTGTCAATATTTCTTAACGTTCTCTGGTTCTACCAAGAACGCAGAAATAATCAGCTCACACCACTTTATGAGGCCAAGGTGTTTACTGTTTCCATTTCCATTCTCATATCACTTACTTCCAGAATTGAAAAAATAAGATAATTTGACTGTCAATTCAGCAACATGGTTTGCTTCTCCACATAGATTAATTTGTTCCTTCTTTTTTTCCATTTAATCATATAACACAGTCTACTTAGTATTATGTTATGAAACAAAAAACTCAACTACTTAATATGTAAATTTATCTCTTGCTTAACAGCCCAAGAATTGATGGTGATGGTTCTGCCAAAGATATTTTTTGAAATACATTCAAAATTCCTCCTTAATTCAGAATTTACACTTTGTTGAAGGTCATTGATAGTAGGGAAAAAGGTAGTTGACCTTCCTGGGGACTTATTTCTAGCCATAGCCACATCTTTTCTCTCATTGATCCAAAAAAAAAAAAAAAAAGATGCAAGGCCTTTTTTTAACAAAGGTATAAAATTTCATAGCTCTGAGACCTTGTGCTATTTGAGCTCTACAAATATTCAGCAAAATACTTCTTGATCTATAGCTATGGTCTATCCAGACAATTCTAATTGGTATTTACTATGGATTACATGTCATCTCTAGAGAGAGAGGAGAGAGAGAGAAAGGAGAGTGCACATAACAACTAAAACATACATGACATAGCCTTCAACATTTCTTCTTGAAATATGAGGTTTGTTTTTGAATGTCCTCAAAATATACCTACTAATAATTGTAAAAATCATCTATGTTCCTGAAATCAAAGGAAAAAACTGATCAGTTCCATAGAGTTTCTTGGTTAGTGTAGTTAGCTGATCTGGGTAACACAGCTTTTAATATAAAGTCTGAATTATTCAGATTAATTATTTTCACTGGCCATGTTGAGTAGATGATTCTCTGATTCACTTCACATGATAAAGAAAAATCTCAGGTAGGGTCTCTATGCCAGGAGTATATTTTCTGTGCCATGGTTAGTTAATGTTTTCAGCCAAGTCGAGACTATACAGTGATCAAACTGTTTTAAAAGATGGACAAAATAATTTGGTCAATGTTGTTGCCATTCTCTATTTCCATCTATGATTGTCTAGGCAATATCCGTCTTTTTTGGAACCATCAAAAATATTAAGTCTGACATTTTGGGGTATGGCAATTTTTGCTTGAATCCTGTTTTCACAAAGTAATTCTTTCGTGGCTTACAAAACAAAACAAGGAGCTTACTTACAGTGAATTCCCCGGTGACTGCATCAAACCCAACATGAATCGTATGCTCAAAGTCTGAAGGAAGAGAGATCTCTGGACGCTCTTTCTCCTTCTTCTTATTGGCTAAAGGCAAAATGTTAACATACATTTATTTGGGGTATAGTTTTGGCATCCACAAGTTGTACAATTAGGTTCATCAAAACAATTACAAAGTTGAAAGACAATTGATTCCAACATAGTCTCAACAATGCTTAACACCAGAAATTCCAATTATTTGCAGAAGTAGCTAAGAGTGTGATGACAAATGTTATATCCAAATAGTTCAAAATTTCCAAAATCCATTTGAAACAAATCCCCTATTCAAACTGACTTATGTCCTTTACCAGTGTAACCAGGAGGTGTCTAGGGATATTGTGTTTAACTGGCCTTGTTGAATCAAATACAACTTACTAAGGAAGAAATTCATTATACACAAGTCAAGCTAAGGCATACTACTAGAAAGAAAGAAAAGAAAAGCATTTCAGCTCTATAAAGGAGTTATGAATTGTTTGTATGTTAATGATGGCTAATAAATGGTAGGTACTTATTTAACACATTGATATTATTAACCATATCTTAATAGACTCTTCTATTGACAATACCACTGAAAATCAATGATGTTACAAACCTTTTTTATCATTTAAAATAATCATTTCCTATCCAGCACTTTGCTAGTTAAAACCTACAAATTGCTGCTTTTTTACTGAATTAATTTTATTTAGTTCTCAGAAACCTTGAAGCCATTCCTTGGTTTAGTTTTTCTAGTTTGTGGTTATTTTTCCATATTTCCATTACATTCTGTCATATTAGCCATTCAAAAATCATTGTCTCTCAAGTAACAGATTTTTATAGTTACATAATTATAAATAAATGTATCAGTAGCTCATAATTTTAAAGACTATAAAGATATAGTCACTGAATAAATTAAGTTGAGAACTACAGTCCATCTGGAAATAGTTCCCAGAAGGAAGTCACTGTGGAAACATTCTAAAATGGCATCTAGTAGCTTCCATAACACATTTATTAGCAGATCTGAGCATGTATCTCAGGTACAGCTGCATTTCACACTAAAAAAAATAGTACTTACCCTCCTAATACAGGGCAAGTCAATTTACCCAGTTAAAACCAATCAACTTCAGAATTGCCAGGGTGGTCAATTTAGAACATTCTGATCAAACAGATGTTGCCTTGCCCCGGATTACAGACAATACTCAATCATATATGGATTATGTGTTTTATGGGTTACCCATGATAAATTTCAAATTCAAAACTTTTCATGTTCAAAGGCTATTCTTATGGCTTCTTATATCATTCCACTCTCTCTCACTGTTGCTTATCTCCAGCCAGAGGACAGAGATATGGGGCAGAAATATGAAAACTGAAGTAGTGAGAGGGACTATACAGAATCAGGAAAGAAAGGTTGGGAGCAGCGGGACAAGAGACACTCAAGGCTTTGCCTGGCCATGTAGCACATTCAGGAGTCATTTTGAAAAAAAAAATATATGCCATATAACTTACCCTCAGTATAGATTCCACTTTTACAGTGAGCCTACTTTATTGATAAATATTATCCTAACTCAACAGTGAAGTTTAGAGCTTTCTGTTGGTACTCTTACTTCCCCTGTGTCTTTGTGGACTATAGCTACCATTTATACTTGTTCAACTACCATTTTTTACTTGTTCAGAAAGGCGCTCTGGTCTCATTACTCTATTGAAGTTGTGCTAGCCACTCCTACAATCATTGTCTTATTTTTTCTCTTTCGTGATGTCCCATCCATACTAACCATGGCTAGCCACTTCTCTTTCTACTTCCTTGACAATGTGGCCTGGCATTCCTCCTTTCTGAATGACCATTGTTTCTTTGATTGTCATTGCTTTTGCCTTTGCTAGTGCAGTTTTGGCCTTCTACAGTTCTTTCTCTATACTCATTCATCTTGGATTGCCTCCACTCCCACATACTAACTTACATTAGGTAATTCTCTAATCTGTGGTTGGCAGGGATAAATCCACATATTGAGGTACCAAACACTGTATGCAATTTGAGAGGAAGGTTCCCTTTAAGTAAAAAAATAACAAAATTATAAATACAAATATACCGGGGCCCCTCCCAGGGCTGTGGAAGGGTTCCAGGCAAGCGAGGAACTCTGAAGGAGCAGTTTCATTCACTTCACAGTAACTAGCTCTTGGTAAACTTTTTGGGGTCAATCTTCTGAAAAATCGGAAACAAGCTATGGAATTTCTGCCCATAAAGATGCACTATACACATATACTTTCACAGCTTCATAATTCTCTTGGTCTCTGAGTTAAGAGCCCCTACCTTAATTGTACTTCGAATTCTTACAACAACTTGAATTCATGGCCCCTCTTGCCAGTAAATAAACTCTCCCAACTTTTCTATTAGTATTGGCAACACATTTGTAGCAAATTGACTAAACACTCCACTTGGGCTGAGTTATATGCAGAATTGGCTTAACGGTGTTTCCCTAAAAGGCCACCTGACTGCCAATCCCTTATCAGCCTAACTGCAATTTTCTTCACTCAGGGCTAAGCATAACAAAGGCCGGAAGCCCAAGTTTGCTTCTCTTCCGGTGTCCCCTATCTCAGTGAAATGATACCACTAACCACACAGATTGGAGAAGAAGCAAGGCCTTAGGCTCCTCCTCCTTTAGGCAGCTCTAAGCAATGAAAAAAAATTATGATCCCCCTCTCCAATATGCAATTCAAATAAAAACAATCCTAAGGCATAAACAATTAAGGAAGTGCAAAACGTTCTGATGTTCTTACGATGACTGAATCATTTTTAAGCTATATGTCCAAAATTAAACCGTTTACACATTTTGGGTGCTTCTGATTTGCTAGATGCCATATAAAAATGCTGGCTCTGGCTTCTGGGTAATCTAGCACTGGCCCAGCTGCCCAAACCAAAACTCTGGGAGTAATCTTTTACTCCTTCTTTGTTTCTATGCTAATTGATTGCCAAATTCTGTCTATCCTATCTCCTAAACTGGCCTTGAATCCATCTTCCTCTCTTCATCCCCACAAATAACTATCTTAGTTTAAGGCATCAGCATTTCTCACATACCCTCACTGCCTCCAATTTTACCCACTTCCATTCATTTCTCTACTCTGTAGCTAGATCACATTCTTGTCTTTAAGAGGCTTAAATGCTATCCCCTATTACCCATATGTTAAAAGTTCATGCTTCATAGCATGATATCCAAGGGCCTACATGATATGTTCCTAGTGTACCTCTCCAGCCTCTCTATTCTTGCTGTGGGCCCCACTACTTATACACATACAATGCTCCCTACACTGCCAGGTTTTCTCTTACCTCCAAGCTTTTACACATGCTATATACCTAGGCCTGGAAAGTCTTACATCTTATCCTCTCCCCAAAATTTATGTGGATCACTCCTATTAGTCCTTATTCTTAAATACTCACTCTTGGGCTTTTTCTCCTTTAGTAAGTCTTTTCCTATCTCCCATCTGCAAACAAAGCTAAATGGCTGTCCTTTCATGCTCCCGTAGAACGTCTCAGTGTCTACTTTGAGCTTGGTACCATCAGAATAGATTGTTATTTTTTACGTATCTACCTCTCTATCTAAAATTTGAGATACTTGACAATAAATAATGTAATCTATTCATTTTCACATTCCCCAGCAACTAGCTTGAACTGGCACTCTTAATAGCAATCATGAATGGGACACTCACTAAGTGCAAAGTAACTAGGGCTATCTCATTTAATCTCCACAACAGTCTTATGAGGTAGGTCTTATTCTTATCTTACAGATGAGAAAAGTGAGACTTAATGGGTTTAAATTATACACCCAGGGTTACACAGCTGTCAAATATCAGTGCCAGGATTTGAACCTAGGTCCCCATTTTGTCTCCAGAACCAAAGTTTTCAATAGTTACATACTTTATTTATTACACAGTGGCATAAGAAAAAATCTCAACAGATTTGAGCTCTAGCTTTCAGTGTTTAGCAATAAAATAGACCCTAGATGGGAATCAGTTTTTATTTTTGTGTGTTTTTTTAAGATACACTAAAATGTCTGTATCTCCCTGCAAAATTCTGTGAGCACTGGTCATTTATCTTAAAATTCAACCTGGTCAGCTCCCTGGATTGATATCTGCAGAGAGCAGAAGTCCAAAAAAAGTATCACTTTCTAAGTGTACCTCCCATATTCTATTGGAACTCAGAACAAGGCTACAAATTGCCGCCTGGACCACAAACTGCAAACAGCTTTTGGCCTTGAGATCTACTGGGAGTTATGGTTGTAATTCCTGGGGCCAGCTAATCTCTCCAGAATTTCTCATCCGGACTTCTTTCTCTATTCTGCTACCTTGTAAAGAATCAAAAGCCCCTCTAGTCATCTATCATCTTTTACATGCCCACCCCAATGTTCTGCAGGTCTTTTACCACCAAGAGTTTGTCCTGTTAGAAACATTTTTTTCTACATTATCTACTGCTTCCTTCACCTCTTGCCTTAGGTTTTCATACTTCACTGTACATCATTTTCATCTGAGAACTTAAAAAAAAGAGAGATGCCAGAGTCCCACTCCCATCTCCAGAGATTTAGATTCAGTTAGTCTGGGGTAGCCCTAGGCATATTTATTTTTTAAAACTCTTCAGGTATTTCTGTTACATAGCTGGGATTAAGAAAAATGACTCTAGACTCTGCTATCCAACGAGTATACCATTTCCGTAGGTAAGACTGGTGGAGGATGCTCACCTTTCTCATTCCAAGGCTGTTGACCTGAGAGAATGGAGAAGTCAGGCTTTCTCTTTTTTTTTTTTAACTCCAAATGATTTTACGTCAGTACTTCTAAACTTGCCTACAAAATCTTCTCTGTGAGATTATCACCACCTAGTTCTCCTGGCCAAGTGCATTGTTCTCCATTGAGGACTTTGGCTCCCAGGTTTCCTTCCTACATTCTTATGCTACCACCCCTGTGTGAAACAGGATATAAATGGATACCTCCTTCATACCCTTTCCTTATGGATCCTTGATCTCTCTCAACTCTAACGAATTTTATGTCCCTTCCACTTCTGCAATCATTCCCACAGCCATCTTTTAAAC